GGGATGCGCCGCCACGTGGCGCCGCCAGATTTGTGAAACCCCCTCCCCTGCGGCCGCCACGTGTCCGCGAATCCGCGCGTCCGCACGAACACGTCCCCGGGCTTTGCGGACTGGCTGAGGCCGCGGACTTCGCCACGCCTGTCCGCCGCCGGGGGGGATACATAGGGTGTAGGAGGACTAAGCGGGGTGACGACTTCGTGGTTGGTGTGCGACGACGGATTGTCCGCATCGGAGAAGAAGAGAGAGAGGGAGAGAGAGTTGAGGTGCACGGACGCGGATTTACTGATTCTTTGTCTTTTCCCCCTCCCTGCCTGTGTACATAAATTTTGAATTGCGGCTCCGGGTGATTCGCCCATTTTTGTTTTCCCTTTTGTTTTTCGGAACCCGGACTTGGATTTTTGCTCACACTTGTCTTTGCGATTACCCCTCTCCGATGCACTATGAATGTATGGATGCCATGTTTCTATCGTTTCTGATCTCTGTCCTTGCCTTTGGGGTATCGTGTGTATGATTACTGACGATGCGGATGTATGGAGGCTATGCTTGCTTGTTTACCTTTTGCGGGGAATCTTTTGTCTTTGCGTTGTCCGTCGCATTCGATGCACATGTATGTAGAATAGGAGTTTTGCGCAATTGATGATTATGTCCGTGTGTTTGCTTGTTTTTGGATCGTGCTGTTTTCTGATCATTGCATCTTGCATAACCAGAACATCACGGAGTAATTAGACGGTCGGATACCGGACTCGGTGAACGCCGCGCGAGGACACGTGTAAAACGCGACCTGAGTTACACGTAATACATAGGATTCGTTAGAACCTAACAAAACAAATTGTTAGGTTTGCACGAAATCTATTCAAGATTATGATAGTACAGTTTTCAAGTCTCCTCTAGGAACAAAATTCTTCAAATTTTTCAGAACTACTAGAGGGGCCGAGGAAAAAAGTGGGTTTTTTGAATAGAAAATCATGACATATTAAAGCACCGTAGCTTCAAGAACTGAAATATCCTGATTTTTTGTTATCGAAAAAAAATGTGTTTATAAGCCTATAAGATGTGTAGCACGATAAATTTATTCGGGGGTTTTCCGAACGCGCAAACATATTCTCCTGTTCGTGAATACGTTCGTTTGAACATGGTTTCCCATACATGGGCGAATATATTATTTTTTATTGTTTGTTTTAATTTTTTTTCCTATATTTTTATTTTAAACTCGTGTTTGGCTAAGAATTTCAAGGTGTCTCCGAGACACAAGTTGTTTGTATTCTTATTTTAAATGACATATATTTTTTGATAAGGGTTTTATTGTTAAGTTCAAAAGTGATTTATAGTCCTATAAATTATTTTGTGAAGAGCTTGGTTTTTACCTAACTGCGAAAACTGACTTAT